GAGCAAGGTGGTGGATTTGGAGGCCCAAATAAACGATGCGCAACTAGGTCGGTTAGGACGACCAGGGCGGCGGCCGCGTTCCGGGCTACTACTTCTTGCCGCTCGTGTAGTCGTGCTCCGTTCCGCACACGGCGACGGCTGGGAAGAAACCCCCAAACCCCTCTCTACGAACCACCTGCCGCCGGAAACCCTAGAGCGCCCGACCCATGGATCCGCAGCAGCCGGAGCCCGTCAGCTACCTCTGCGGAGGTAATCCTCTCGCCCCCGTATCTCCATCTGATGATTGGATTCGTTATCGGGCATCGGAATCAGGAGCGGCTTGCGCCCCTACTGGTTAATGAATCTATATAAATGTTAAAGCAAAGTTTGCGATACAAAGGACAAAAGAGAAAAAATCATCCAGTCATCCGCTACTAGTAGCTTGTCATGTTTATCTTTGAAATGATTTTTCACCTCCTGGCTCCTAGGGATGAATTTGATTTTTCTTTCGTTTCTTGTTGAAAAATATTATTGTTCTGCTTCAGATTGCGGAGCTGAGAACACCCTGAAGCCAGGAGATGTCATCCAGTGCCGTGAGTGTGGCTACCGCATCCTCTCTACAAGAAGCGCACCCGCCGGAGTAAGACCACATCATTCCTTCTCCTTTCATTCACATACGCGATTCCTTGTTTTCCTCGTCGGTTAGATTGAGGATAGAGCAAACAATTCTGTGTGTAAAGCAAAGACCGTCCTTTGTTATGGGGTGCTGCCTAAAACATAATCGTTTTGACTGTACTGTCAGTAATATACCTTCCAAACCTAAAGGTTCAGTAATGTCGCAGGAAGGATTTTGCAAAGTAGCGGCATATAATGGATTAGATGGTTAGCTTATGAGTCACTTGTAGAAACTCAAAGACCGTATTATGAGTGATTGGCTAAGTGCCTAATCAGCTAGAGTTGTTTAATAGCATTGCTTCCATGTCTCAATTGTCTTTATAATTCCACTTCCTATATGATTGTTCTATAAGAACATTGGTGCCATCTTTTCCCTCGAAAAGTGCGGTTTTTCTAGCTTCTGTTTGCTGATATACAGTTTTGTTAGTAATCTTGTGTTTCTTCATGCCATGACTTCTCATGCCATTCTCTCTGAAACAATGTAACTTTATTGTCTTGAAGTCTTGATGCATTAAAAAAAAGAGAGGAATTGGTGCTATGATTAGCATATATGTGTATAGAAAAGAAAAATAATTGCAATACCAGTTACCTTCTATGAGGCAAGGTGAACTGAGTTCATTTGTTAAACCCTGATCTTTCTTATTTGAGATGCCAGCTATTTTTGTATTCCAGTTAAAAAAAAGCTGCTTATTACATTTCTTGTCCATTTATTATATTTTAGAACAAGGGAAACAAGTTGAGAAAATCAACTGCAGCTAGAAACTTTGCATGATTTAATGGATATGATATATGTTTGTTCCTGCTTAAAGAAACTCTGCCTGATTCCCAAGGGATCTTAGATGTTTAATTAGTTAATGCTGTGGTACTGGAGTCTTTTGTCTATTAAGAGAAATAACGCCTATGAGTTTTATATGTCTGAAATTTTGGTGGACTTTGTGCTATGTTAACCTCCACACTAGTATATTTTGTAAGATGGATGTGTTTGTTTCTCTCCATCCTCCTTAGTTTTTATTGTGAAGAAAAGGTTTAATACTGCTTTGTGTATCGCTTTCTTTTCCACATTCTTCATTGTTTCGGTTTGTGTACTTCAACTCAAAATTCAAATTACCTTGCTAGCATGCTGTTATCTTTGCTGATTCCACTTGTAGATCTTCTGATGTATACAGCTTAGTGAGGCAACCAGTTTGTAGTCCTCATGGTGCACTTAGCTCATATATAGGATACTATGCTACTAACTTCTGGACACCATTGGTACCCTGTCCATTAACAGAAACTGTAGTGGCTTTGATAACAATATTCTTCTGTCCACAGTTACACTTAGATCACAGCAATTCATTTACCTTGTTGTCCATTAATTCTTAGTTACAGTCGTCACAAGTCATGAAGGTAGTAACCTAGTATGATGTGATGTGTTTGTAGCTATATATCTTAGGGGTATCTTACCACAATGAGAATATGCACGTAGCGCACATTTGCTTTCTTAAAAAAGAATATGTGCGCATTCACAAGTAATGATTGGTTTGATTATCGTTATACGTTGATAATGCTAAGTGCATAGTCCAAAAGTCTTCTCATTAACAATTAAATAATGACCTGCAGCTGTAGGCGATTATAAACATATATGTGGGATGTTTAAGACATAGTAGCAACTGTTGTTGTCATATACATTTCTCAGCCAATAAAAAATTCCTGCACAATCTAATTCATCTGAAATGGCAATTAGCCTATAGCTGTTAGTCCTTCTGAAGATATGTATGGGGCTATGACATAGTTGTTGCAGTACGTCAGTACGATACAATTGAACCTAATCGTTTATTGCTGACATTAAGGTATTGTATAATATCAAGGATGAAAACAATAGGCGTTATTGCTGACTTAGCTGACTGCAAATTGCAAAAATAATATGTTCAATATCAAGGATGAAAACAGGCATTTGCTCTTTTAGATATTGTACTGCTTCGGCTTCTCTGTTGCATTTGTTGTTGCTATAAAAGTATGGAAAACGACAATTATCATGCTTTTATCCTCTATGGTAGAGGACAAACACAGCACAATACGTAGGAATGATTCTAGACACTGAAAATGGTAGCTGAATTGAGTGTGAAATTAGATCCCATGGTTGACAATCGTAGACACTGAAAATGGTAGTTGAATTGAGTGTGAAATTGGAGCTCATGGTATAAAAAAAAAAATTGGAGCTCATGGTTGACAATTCTAGGAACCGGAAATGCTAGCTTTATTCAGTCTGAAGTTAGATGTCATGGTTGATCTATTAAACTGAATACATCTGCATTTGATTTGTATTTCTAATTTGATCTTTGTTCCAATGTGGCATTCCTCACCAAATGTTATGTTTCTTGTATAGTTGTCCAATATGAAGCACGCTGAGGAGTGAAGACAAGGGAAAACACTGAAGATGGTTGATCTATTACTCTGCCACTATACCTATGTAAAGAGTCTTGTGAGGGAAATGTAAATGTCAGACATAATGTTTGAATGTCGTCGTGTGCCTCCTTTGGACTTGAGCTTTAATCTGTAACGCTTGAACTGGGGATTGATTTGAGAATTGAGATACTGCAGTAATATGTTGATGGGTCGTAACTCGTAAGTGGGCGAATCTAATGCATGATATGCCTGAATCTAATGCATGCGTGTTATGCCTGCGTTATTTATTGACAATTTGTTTGCCGCCTATCCAAAAATCATGGGTGTTCAGCAGAGGCATCTATTTATACGGCTGGAATATTGCTTGTGTCCTTACTTGTCCGTCAATCATCCATTCATTCAGAACTGATGAAAACTATGTGATGGGGCGTGATTCAGTTGTATCTTGTATGCTTGTTCGCTTGCTCGTAATCGATCGTAAATTTCTAGTTGGGAACAGTGTTTTTGTTTTTTCTCACAAAACCAAATCCAAGAAGAAATAATCCATAATACGATACGGTCTCCTGAACAGGCTAGCCATTCATAACATTTTCGCGGTATGGGGCGCCTTTCCTGTTGGCTGGAGAAAATGTGAACAAATGTAGGGACAGGTCGCAGGAGGCACGCGGATCTAATCATCGTATGCACCCAAGCAGTCCACTGCGCGCCGTACCTGTCCTCCACAACAAGCTGTCGCCCGCGCGTCACGGCTTTACGAGCGATTCCCGCGCACCCCTCGCCGCTGTCCTGTCTTGCTGCCATGGAGGTAAGCGTATCTCAAACAGATTAGCTCATTCAATGCTAAAAAATAATTTTAAATTACAAGACGTGGTTTTTTCAGATATATTATTTTATAAATCTAAATGCTTAGCAAAATCTAAGTATATAGAAAAAGAAAAACGTCTTATAATTTAGAGCCTATTTGAATACATTAACACTAAAAATTACGTCCTCTAGCCTAAATTACAAGATGTTTTAGTATTTCTAGATTCATAAATTTTATTATGTACGTAGATATAATATGTATCTAGGTGCGTAGCAAAAAATATAAATCTAGAAAAGCCAAAGCGTCTTATAATTTGAAAAGGAGGAAGTAGCAGCTAAAATTAGTGCTAGTGGTTTAGCTGAAGGGTTGCTAACTATTAGTTCTATTAGCAGGTTTGTAATTATGAATAGATGCTAATAGTTTATATGTACATTCGATTCACTATTCAACCATATATTATCCAAACGCCACTTTACTAAAAAAAATAGCTAGCTAAAAAATAGCAGCTATTAGCTAGCTAATTTTTAGTATAAATTGTTCCAAAACATGACCTTAGAATGGAGAGAGTATAATATAGGGAGTTATAGTTAGCCCCAACAAATTACACATCATGTCTCCTATTCTATCTCTAATATCTAAAAAATTGAATTATCAGCCTGTTCGCTGATTTGTTTGTGGGCTGATAAGCTCGACTGATGCTGATTTGTTGTGAGAGAAAAATACTATATCATGATTTATAAGCTCTGGCTGAAACCAACCCGCGAACATGCTGTATATTGGTAGGAGGAGAAGAAAAAGATGCTACTGATGAAAGAAGATCACCTATGTAGACTTCTTTTTATAAGGATTTTATTTAAGAGATGTAGATAGGTAATCCGTTGGTGAGCTGGAGATGGTTAAGGTACCGGAAACTGAAAGCGTATGGCTACGTGAGACACCGCGGCCCCGTCACGCGGCGCGTCAGACAAGCCGGAGTAGCTCCATCAATCGCTGCCGCAGCGTTGCAGTGCGTCACGCTCACGCGACACGCACCGCTCCGTCTCCTCTGCCCCTTCTCCTTCTCCAGCGCATACGGATACGGGCTTGGTGTCGGTGACAAGCACATACGCAGCGCGGAGGTTCAGGCAGGACGCAGCGCAGCGCGGAACCACCAAGGATGGCGCCCGAGATTCAGAGCCTGTTTCCGAGTACGACGGCCGTGCTCCTCCTGCTGGGCGCCTGCCTCTCCGCCGCCGCGGTGGCAGCGCTCGGTGCCGCGGACGACGCCAGCAGGCCGGCGGTGCCTCTGCCTGGTGGAGGCGCCCGGCGCGTCCTCTTCGCCAACGGGCTCAGGCTGACGCCGCAGATGGGGTGAGGAACGAAACCAGCACTCCGAATTCAGATGTGCATGCATGCGATGCGTGGCTTCCGCCGCTCCCGGCTGTGGTTTGTTGTCTGAGTGAGCCTTTTACCGTGGGTTTTTTCTTTGTGTTTTGTCGTCGCTTTTTCGCAGGTGGAACAGCTGGAACCATTTCCAGTGCGACATCAACGAGGCGGTCGTCCGGCGCACCGGTCAGTCAGAGACCACCACCCCAATCAGCTCGTATCTGAAATCACCAGCGCCATTGGTTTCTTTCTGATGATATGGCTATTGCTCACTGATTCGCTGTTAACTTGATTCACAGCTGATGCGCTCGTCGCCACCGGACTTGCAAAGGCTGGCTACAAGTATGTCAACTTAGGTAGTGTATTCTATACATATATGCAGAGTTCATACTTCATACGTGTTGGATGTTATCATAGTGTTCGGTGTCACTGAAAGATGACATTGCTATTGCAGATGACTGCTGGGCGGATTACCAAAGGACCAAAGAGGTAGTACGAGTGCTAGTTGATTTTTTCGTCAGTTACTTTCAGTTAAATTCTTGCACTGCTGAACATTGATCCAAGCACGATCAGTTTGACTGCGACCTGCCAGAAGTCAATAATTTAAGAAATTGGCTTGGCTAACTGACTTTCTGACAGGGATACATGATCGCTAATCCCAAGACATTCCCATCCGGAATCAAGGCCCTGGCAGATTATGTTCACAGCAAGGGGCTTAAGCTTGGCATCTACTCTTCAGCTGGGTACGTTCTTTTATTTTCCCCTTTTCCTTCAACAAGTTCGGTCGGCTCTTTTTGATTCAATCAAGTGGGAATAAGTTCACCCAGGCTACCTCATGCCCAAAAGCTTACAAGTTTCCACTGCAAATCCATGTTGAACTAAAACCGGACTGCCTTCCGTAAATTTCAGGACAAGAACTTGCAGCAACAGGATGCCTGGATCTCTGGGCCACGAGGACAAGGATGCTAAAACGTTTGCATCATGGGTACATACACATGCTACTACAGATGTTCAGTCTTTCAGACATCTGATAGCATTTGACTAGGACTTGCGGTTTCAGTTCACCAGTAGAATTTTAGTCTACTACCAGTATCAGTTACTCTTCTTCTATTATATATAGAGCAAAAAAACAAAAAGAAGCAACCTTACCTTAGTTACTATACATCGTTTCTTCACTCGACGCTTGACCATACGTGTGCAGGGTGTTGACTACTTGAAGTATGATAACTGCTACAGAGACGGCACGCCTGAAACCGTGAGGTGCACATTCAGTTCGTGTACCATTCTTGTTTCTTTCAGATGTATATGTAGCGGGCAGCTGTAAATTGTGATGCAGGTTTGGGCGCATGTCTCGCGCGCTGAAGAACTCTGGCCGCCCCATCTTCTACTCACTTTGCGAATGGTGTGGCATGCATCCCTTTGCCTTCTTGGTCTTCTCTTTTTGCTTGAAAAATGCACCTGAGCTGACGGTTATTTAACTTCGTCAGGGGCTACATGGAAGTGCCCAAATGGGGCGGCATGTACGGCAACAGCTGGAGGACCACCGGCGACATCATCGACACATGGTCAGGGTAAGTGACGCTCATCAGCTCTTCGAGTACGTAGCTAGTAATTCTCTCGCTGATAACTGATTGGGTTAACTTGTGGGTTCTTGCGACAGCATGCTGGACAACATCGACCGGAACGACGCCTACGCCCGGTACGCCAAGCCCGGCGGTTGGAACGGTCAGTTCGTATCGTCCACGTCTATCTCTGTTTAGCTTCCTGGATGAAATGCATCCGGATTCGATCCATGAGGTTTTCCTGTCAGCTGATCAATGGCTTGCTTCTCTCCCACACAGATCCTGACATGCTGGAGGTCGGGAACGGAGGGATGGCGTACAACGAGTACGTCGTGCACTTCAGCCTGTGGGCCATCGCCAAGGTGCGTGAATCATTTCCAGGCTCAGGCTCAGGCTCATAAGAAATGAGCGTCTGTCCGACTCTCTGTGTGCTCACAATTGCCGGTCGAATTCTTGGCGCCAACCTTTGACAGGCTCCTCTTGTAATCGGCTGTGACGTAACGAGAGTTTCCAAGGAGACGCTGGGGATCCTCTCCAACGCAGAGGTCATCGCGATTAACCAAGGTCATCACAACACAATTAATGCATCTTCGTTCTCATCAGCAAAATCTTTTTCACATTAAGTAGTTCAAGTGTTCAGTTCTTTCTACTCACGCACGAGGAAAAAGTTCACTTATTGACTCGTCTTCATGTGTGCCAATTGTGTTCGGCGCAGATCGGATGGGTGTCCAGGGAAACAAAGTGAAGAAGTATGGCAACGATCTCGAGGTACAGAGATAGTATCTACCAAATCGATCGTCATCGCAAGCAGCACGTCTCGCTCGGGTAGGAAATCCTGAATCCCGTGGCGTTTGATTATATTGCAGGTGTGGGCGGGGCAGCTCTCCCGCCACAGGAAGGCGGTGCTGCTGCTCAACCGGGGGGCGACGCGCTCCGCGTCCATCACCGCGGCATGGCCGGACGTCGGCATCCGCCGCGGCGTCACCGTCGAGGCCAGGGACGTCTGGAAGGTACGTGAATGCGTGGTGGCTGGTGGACCAGCCGCTGGCCATTTCTCCCGTTCCGCGCATCCGAGCCGAGCTAGCTTGCCTGCCAGATATGCATCTGGCTCGAATTCATGCAAGCTTATGGTTTATGATTCATTCATCTGCAGCATGAGACGCTCCCGGGCAGGTTCACCGGCAGCCTCACGGCGGTGGTCGGGCCGCACTCGTGCAAGCTCTTCGTCCTCACGCCCGTTCCTCGCTGACGACGGCGCCGCAGGAGATCCATCCATCGATCTGCCTAGAAATTAAACCTGTATGATTTCAGATTCTTATTGTGTAGTGACTGCTTCGACAACAAGAGCCCGTCAGCGTCTGTCGGTGAATTAGTAGTGATTTGAAATGCATGGTGCAACGCTCAGTTTGGCTCAGATTTGAGATCGAACATGGCGAATAAATTAGACCAACAACTTCGCTACCCTACCCATATACAGAGAGTGTGTGCTCCCCACCATCGAAAGAACAGAACAATTCAAATCTTTTAGCGTCGTTTTCCAAAAAAAAACAAATTTTTAGCTTGAACGCTAAAATCTTTGTTTTTCAAGGTGCAACCTACCTCCTTCGATCCATTCAGCTTTGTCCAAGCTTAAACCTTTACAGTTTGGTCAACAATTTCAAAAAAAAGTACGTTGGAAAAAACAATTACTATTTTAATATAAAAAATACTTTGATAATATTTTAATTTTTTTTAATATTATTATACTATGTGTAGACATATTGCTAGCTAAAAGTTATAAACCTAAATTAAGACATGCTTTACCTATCTATCTACATATGGGTAAACTTAATCATGGGTCATCCGACCTGATCTCAGTGGATCAGATCAAAATTTACAACCCATGATCTGACCTGACCACACATGAAAAAATCCAACATAAAGAAGGCAAATTTGAAAGAAAACACCCCGAGAATTATAGCCTAACCGGCCTGTATGTCGGGTCGAGCTCGAGCCAAAGATTATGACCTGATATATTTTTCGGGCCCAACCAGACTTGTCGTTTGATCAAGTCTGCATGTAGGATGCTTTGGAGCCTTGCAAATAGAGGTCATCCTAGCTCACAAGTCCAACTCTTTTTGTGTCGTTACTTTTGTTGGAATCAATGATGGTCTGGAGAGAAAAACCTTAGCCTCATTTGTCTTAGCTATCACCTGCTATTGGAGAGGGAGAAGGAGCATAACACAACACAAACACAATGTGAGAGAAAAGGAGGAATTTGACCAGCTTTGATGGCAAGGTTATTTTCAAGCTTGTGATCGTAAGTTCAAACATTGATCTAGTCAATTGGTTTGAGGTTTATTGGTTGAGTACAACATTATATTTGAGAGGGATTGGTTGGTCCAAAGTTATTACTGGAATTTTCGAACGTATTTGTCGGGGACCAATACTAGGGTACCCGAAGAGGAGGAGGTAATAACCATCCGCATTGATTCATCCGAGCAGTCAAGAGCGCGACTACAGCTCCAACCGACCCCCAGGTGCGTAAGCCCGACCTCTAAGGGCTGGCTCCGCGTCGCCCGACCCTTGGGTTTGCGCTGGCTCTGCCTCGCCCGGCCTCTGGGGGCGGGCTTTGCCTTGCCCGGCCTCTAGGGGGGACTCCACCTCGACCGACCCCGAGGCCAGGGGATCCATCTCGCCCGACGGAGACCCATACCGCCGCCAACCACTCCAGGTCCAAGCGAATGGGCTTGACTCAAAGCTCTGATACTAGGGAGGTGACCGGCACGCCCCGATATAACCCGTGGCCGTGACGGGCCATACCTAGGGATTCACATCAGGAACAACGTCGGGCGTACCAGTGCTGTTCTGCCTAACCCTCGTACGAGGACTGACATGCATGTCAGTTCACCACGACGTCCGCTAGGACGGAGTGGAGCACCACGACCGGGAGACGACGTCTGCGCATGGCGCCAGTGACGGACAGGGCCGCGACAGGAGCTGTCCCTGTTGACGTCTATAAGGTCGGCGGGACCCGCGTGAAGGAAAAGAAGGATCCGGCGATCCTAGAGAACTTCTCCTTCTCATTCTCCTCTTTTCCCTCCACTGTAACCCGTGTTTTCCCTTGACCTATAAAAGGAAAAGCAGGGCGTCCCATAAGGGGCATCGCAACACATCGCATCGATTTGGACTGGAACCCATCGAACCCCGAACCGATCAGAACACATAACATACAGCCAGGAAGCGACCGAGCTCTCGGCACCCGTTCGCTCCTCTCACTAGAGACTTGGGAACTGTACCTCTCTCGATTGTTTGTAATCCCTACTACGAACTTTCAGTGCTAGTAACACGAGTAACAGCAACGAACTAGACGTAGGGACATTCTGCCCGAACCAGTATAAACCTCGTGTCCTCTTAGCACACCATCCGAGCCAGACGTGCAATATTATAAATTTACTAGTCGGTGGCAACTTAAAACACCAACAGTTGGCACGCCAGGTAGGGACCTTTTGTGTGTCTCAACATGCACACCAGGCCTCGGACGGCTAGTCACAACCTCAGCTAGGTCCCGGGCACGCACGTGCGCTTCGGGGACCTAGACTTCATCATCACGACGGACGAAGAGTTGGCGATGTCTCCCGCCGCCGTCCTACCTCTCCACTCTACCGGTCTCGACGCGATCACCGAGGCGCTTGAGGAGCTGCAGCTGTACGCACCAGAGGCCCGCGCCCTCGGAAGCGACCAGCTCCTTGACTTTAACTACGGGAGGTTAGAGCACCAGCTTGGCGCCTTCCTAGGACCCCGACCGTCCCGGGAGGACCTGCGCCACCTCACCTTCTCGTTCACCAACGTCATGGCGTAGCTTGCCGGAGGGGAGCCGCTCTCTCCAGAATACCTCATCCGGAGCACCCCGATAGCGCTCCCGTTCGGCCTCCGCAACGCTATAGAGACCGATGGCCACCTTGTGGCACAACGCACGCCTCCGCCCCCCGCGAACGACGGGTTCGTGGGGATGACCGAATATGTCACGGAGTCTTTCCACGACCTCCTCGTAGGAGAATCGGAGTCACCCTCCAGCTCTAACTCCAGCAGAGGGAGCCATCACCCCTCTCATGAGTGCTTTATGGTGGGTACCCCCAAGGGACACGTCGAAAGCATCCACGAGAAAGAAGTTACCCCAACGAACGACCTCGACGATGAGGTCGGGGGGATGCAGGGACCCCGCCTCGCCTGCGGGTGGAGCAGCTGAAGGCCTAACACCAAGAGCTCGAGGAAGCGCGACACTAGCTCGAGCAGGATCGCGTGGAGCTCAATCGAGAGATCGAGCGCCACGGAGATGGTGGGCGTGCACGCGCCATGGCCCATGACGTGAACCGGAGGATCATCGATGACGATGAAGCACTCCCGCACTTCGCCCGGGCCAGCCAAAACATTGCCGCTGTGGCAGCCTTGCTTCGGGGGCTTTCGAGGCCCATGACGCCCGAGGATCGTCAGACCCATCATGAGATTCATACGCTACTCGAGCGTGCGGCAGCGCAGCAAGCCGAAAGCTCGTTGTCTCGATGATGCGAGCTCGATGCTAGCCAGTGCGCGCCCTCAGAGTGACCCAATAAGGACGCATCAGTCCACTAGGAGCCACAAGGCGGCCAGCTGCGCACTGCAGTCCTGGTGCATGAGCGTCTCGGCCGCAACCGAGGACGATGCCGAGGGCATGGGAAGGACCCTGAGCCGACCGTGGACGATGCCGAGGGGAGGGATGGCGGCTTTCCGATGCTGGATGGCTGCCTCATGATCTTCGGAGGGTCAGCGGCCTATGACTCCAAGCGCCGCCAGAAGCTCACGCGCCGCAAGGTCTATACGGCCGAACCGGCCGCGCCTGTCTTCCTCCGGTGGTCGGAGTCCGCCATAACATTTGATCAGACCGACCACCCGGAGAGCGTCCCACAACTAGGGAGATATCCGCTCGTGGTCGACCCGTTCATCGGCACAAAGCGGCTCACCAAGGTACTGATGGATGGAGGCAGCGGCCTCAACATCAAGTACGCCGAAACGCTTGACGCCATGGGCATCGACCGATCGCGCGTCTGACCGACCGAAGCGCCTTTCTACGGCATCGTGCCTAGAAAGCAGGCCATGCCACATGGACAGATCGATCTGCCCATCACCTTTGGGGATCCATCCAATTATAGGATGGAGACCCTCACCTTCGAGGTGGTCGGGTTCCATGGAACCTACCACGCCATCCTGGGACGTCCATGATACGCGAAGTTCATGGCCGTCCCTAACTACACCTATCTAAAGCTGAAGATGCCGGGACCATGCGGGGTCATCACCATCGGCACCTCCTTCCAGTGCGCCTACGAATGCGAGGTCGAGTGCTGCGATCACGCCACGGCAATCATTGCCTCCAAGGAGCTTGCGACCATCGGGAAGGAGGTCACTGAAGAAGCACCTGACCCCAAGCGGTCAGCCGGGTCTTTCAAGCCAATGGAGGGCACCAAGGAGGTCCTCATAGACCCCAGCAACTCCAAGGGCGAAGTGGTGCGTATTGGCACCACGCTTTCCTCTGAATAGGAAAGCGTGCTCGTCGGCTTCCTCCGCGCCAACAGAGATATCTTTGCATGGAAATCCTCAGACATGTCGGGCAATTCGAGAGAAGTCACTGAGTATGCCTTGAAGATCAGGCCAGGCTCCAAGCCGATGAAGCAGCGCCTGCGTCGCTTCGACGAGGGGAAATGTAGGGCCATCGGCGAGGAGATCGTGAAGCTATTGGCGGTAGGGTTCATCAGGGAAGTATACCACCCAGAGTGGTTAGCTAATCCTGTCCTTGTAGAAAAGAAGAACGGGAAATAGAGAATGTGTGTTGACTACACGGATCTCAACAAAGCATGTCCAAAGGATCTATTTTCTTTGCCATGCATAGACCAAGTAGTCGACTCTACCTCAAGGTGTGAAACCCTTTGCTTCCTTGATGTGTACTCTGGGTACCATCAAATCACGATGAAAGAGTCCGACCAGCTCACGACATCTTTCATCACCCCGTTTGGATCATTCTGCTACGTCACAATGTCATTCAGTTTGAAGAACGCAGGGGCTATGTACCAGCGTTGTATGCTCAAGTGTTTCGAGGACCTCATCGGGCGAACCGTTGAGGCCTACATGGACGACATCGTGGTCATGTTCGAATGGGTTGACCAGCTCGTAGCTGACCTTGAGCAGGCCTTCGCAAAACTCTGAGCAAATGGCATTAAGCTCAACCCTGAGAAGTGT